CCCAAGTTTTGCAAGAGTATTCTATTTTTAAAAATAAGGATTAGAGCTGAGATCATAGTCTCAGGCTATAAATTGTAACTGCTTTCACAAGGAACCATTTTGTCTTGTTGCATGTTTTCTACATGTTTGATTTCTTTATCAAAACTGATCTAAACATGGGAAATACAAATCTGAGTAATATTACAGAGAAAAAAGTAGGATTGTCATTGACAATAATACACATGAACCTCATTTGAAGACTGTAGAGAAACAAAAAGTGCTGGAAATGATATCTTACTTCGCTTTTATATACTATTTTTTAGTTTCACACCTATGAAGCTTAATATTTTAGTTATTGCATACAGTTGGAAGTAATGCTTGTTGAAATATGCTTATGCAGTTACAGAATCACTCTCAAAGCACCAGATGACTTTTCCAAATGGTGTAAGCATTTAACTCAGTAATACTCTTGCCCTGTTTGTCCTAACTTTAAACTTAGTAAATTACAGAATTGAGGAAGAAAAGTAGACCTGGTTGGTTCTAACTTTAATTAGTGTCTGGTGTTCTAGAAGCATATGATAATTTCAAAATGAATTTTAAATATTTTTTAGCAATAGATAAGAAAATGTAGAATATCACATTTCACTTAGAGTAAATTACGAGTTCTCAGGTTTTTCTAGTGTATAAAAATTTTGCAAAATTGATGGAAATAGCTGAAAGTCTGTCAGTCCAACTGCCACTTCTTACACTGCTAAAAAACAAAGTTTCCATTAAAGTATGATATCAGGCTAATAAAGCCACATTTTAAGTCCCTACCAGAATACCCAGCACCTTAGATAAAAAAATGTTTCAAAGACTTTCTTGAGGTTTAAATGGCAATTTAATTAAACTGGAAAGCCAATGTCTCACACTCTTTCTTTTGTTCTTTTTTCAAGGAAAAAATTTATACACAAATGAATATGTGGCAATTAAGCTGGTAAGTTTAATTTTTTTCAAGGATTTCGAATGAGAAACTAATCAGAATTTTCATTTCATATATAATGGTTTGATTTTCTTAACTGAAATCCTTAATCATCTTGTGTGTTTTCAACAGACTAGATGAATACAGTTAATGATAGATGTGGTTATATACTTTGGCCCTATTGAGTAAAGCCAGTGTTAATTGTTGCTACTGTTTTCAAGGCTAATCTATGTTAAGTTGGTGATGATTGACTGCTGCTTCAAGGATATACTCAGCAGTCATCTTAGTCGATATCTTTTTTGTGTAGTAAGTAGAAGAACACCAAATTTAATGTGAATCTGGTATCAGGTGACTACAGAATTCTTCAGACTGTCTGTATTTTAACAACCTTATTCCTGTCCCTGTTTTTATCTGTATTCATTGGTATTTGCACATCTGTTTTGGTAGACGTGTTTTATTTGCATTACAAACATGGTAAATGTGGGTATTTTGTTAATATGTCATTATTCTGCTTTTTCCGAATCTTTTCTTCAGAACTACTCAGTTTGCTTCATGTTTTTCTGGACACTTTAAATTTCTTCATAAATGACTGTTTTTATAACAAAAGTATTTCAAGATGAAATTCAGTTGTTTACTTTTTGTTGTTGAAAGAATTTTAGGACTCAGATTAATTTCCTGTTGCTGCAGTAGGATGGAACATTTTTCATAGTATAGTATGCTGAATTTCTTATTCCATCAAGTAAAGGGTAAGCTATGCAAACAGAAATACATGGGTTTAGATGAGCAATCTAAAACTCATTGCAAATTGATATAATAAACTCCTGAAAAATATTTGTATTGCTTTCCTCGTTTAGGAAAATTTACTTCAGGAGTAGTTACAGATTTAAAAAACATCCAAGTTACAGTATGAAAGATCAGCATTGGATGAAGTTTTGAGGGTTATTGTGTGTGCATTATGGCAGATTTAAACTCATTTTGTTTTAAACTATCTTGAACTTATTCTGTATGTCTGTTAAAACTTGCAAATGGTCTGAGAATTCCTCTAGTTAAAGGCTGTTTACTATAAAGCACATTCAGAAATAGTTTGCAAGAGTGATATTTTTTTTTCCTTCTTTTTAAGCACTAATTACTTAGAGCAAGAGAATTTTTTAATCTGGTCAGAGGGTTTTGTTAAAACCAAAAAAGGTAAAACGATTTCTATTCTATATGTAACTTAATAAACTCAGCTACTATTTGAACCCATTTCAATGTTCAAAGATACTGTTCAGTGGCAACTTCTTACTTTGTCTCCAAATTACTCAAATCTTACAGCTGTTCATTGACAGTTGTGCAAAACGTGTGAAGTATCATTATTGAATAACTTTGAAGTCACTAAAGAACCAGTGTAGTAAGGTTTTTCTCATTTACTACTAGTTCATAAAGAACTCTGAATATGTAGTTGACTTTTTGGGTTTTCCTCTAGTGGTAGGAAAAGTTATGGTGTCTTAGCAATAAACAACAGATGGAAGGAATCATACAGAAAATCAACACTAGTGCTCGCATCGTGATTGTAAGCTAGAAAGGTAGAACTAGTGGGTTCTTTTAACATGATTCTTATGTTTATTATATCTTTCAGTGCCTTTAAATTTGCTACCAAAACGGAAGTGATTTAGGTCACAAGGTTTAGTCTGCTAAAAGGAATTGCATCAAATTGTAGGATTTAGTTTACTTTTGCTTTTTTTTTTTTTTTAAATTCTGTTTTTCTTCTGTTGGAAACAGTGCCAGGACTTTATTCTGACAGTTAATAAGTAGGTTGTACTTCCTCATGGTATACCATCTTCTTCCTTTTAAAATGTAAGCCTATCAGTTTTTCCCTATCTGGCACTTACTCCCTTTGTGCTTTGAGAGCAGTTATTATGCCTGTACTCTGTTTTGTTATCCTTAATAAGGCACTCTAAATTTCCTCTCTGTTTTCCAACCACTGTAGTTCAAGTTTAACCTTCCTGAACAGAGTTACTTGAATTATGTATGTATTCTAGTTTGAGCAGTTACCCTTGACAGGTACAGTTGTGGTAATATCTCTCCTGCAGTATCCCAAGATCATATTTGTATTCCTCATGGTAGCATTCCATTGCTGATGTACTGTTTTCTTGTGCGTAACACCTGTGCCAGGTGTTTTGTGTGTAAATGGTAACTGTATATCCTAGTGCAGGAGCATTGTGTGGGTTTCTCTGAAGAGCATAAATTATAATGACTGTGTCCATACAGCACCTTTTCAGGACTGCTTCTGATGTTAAAAGTAAATGGATTTGATATTTACTTTTTTGACTTATTAATTCAATACAGTGAAAAGTTTATTTCCCTTGTGGAAAAAATCATAGAAGTTTTTTCATGTTTATGATGTTTATGGCAAGTTCAGGACTTAGGTAAGGAAATAGCTTAAATGATTTTTCTGTGTGAGGCCTGATGATCGTACATAGTATGCGTTTTAATGTATTAAGTTTGTATGTAAATACATATTCTGGTAAAATGGCTATAGTTCCAGGGTCTTACTCTTAATCTGGCTTCTATCATCGTGGCCTGTTCTAGTTGGGCAGGTACTCAAGTCTGAAAAGTTAGAACAGCCTTTTTTTTTTAAGGACTGTAATGAGACTCTGAAGAACTAACTGAAGAGCACTGACTACTGGTGTTTATATGCTTCTGCTGGTCTGTTAGTACACAGATCGGCATCTTGTGATCAGGTAGTTCATCAGAAATAACCATTTGGTATACATGAACTGTACCTTTCCTGCTTACCTTTTCATTTATTGTTAGATTTACTACTTTTATTACATAATCCTCTACTTATATCTCTTACTCCCTATTCAGGTCTACCCTCTCCTTTCTTCTTCCCTTTCCCTTTGACAAATTTCTTCATTGTCCGAATTTATGTCCTCCTTCAGGATGCTTAACCACTAACCAAATACTAACTAAAGGAATTTCTGCTTGAGCTGCTTCTGGAAATAACTTAATTTTTCTTTATGTCTTCGTGAAAGATAGCAAGTTATGAGGTAGTCACTGCTGTTTTAATCTGTAATCTTTAATTTATTGATTCATCAATCACTCAACTGTTAAGATTTTAATCATTAAAATTTTAAATGGGATGTGTGTGGAAAGAAGATTGCAGTTGGTTCCAAGGCTGGGATGTTATTTCCTCCTTTTCTGTTTTTAAAAAATTGTTGCAGTCTAGAATGATAGCAATTCATAACCTCTCTAGAAGCTGTATTAAATCCAGATCCAAGGCAACTGTTTAATAGACTGCTTTTCCTGTAATAAGAGCCCTATCTCTTAAAGATTTTTTTCCCTGAAAATAGCTTTTGTTTGCTGTTGCTTAAGAAAATACGAAGCAGAGACAGAAGATATACTGAGTAGGAGTTCTCACTGGATTACTAAAAACATGCAAAGTAGGTAATAGCTGAATGTTTGTTTATATTGTGCTTTGGGTTAACATCAGAGTTCTTGAAAACTTCAGATTTTGTGATCAGAGTAAGTAAAATGTTTTCTTAAAGCTCTTTAAAGGGGAGGTGACATATCTTGAAAATTGTATAGTAGTTTATTCCATGTATTTGACACACAAAAAACCCAAATGCCACATTATGAGTTGAAACAGATTTCACATTTCAGATGTCTTTATACTTTTCTTTGAATGTATAAGCATTGCACAAAAGAAAACAGGAGCTGAAAAGTTTGGTTCAGAAGAACCTCTCTGAACTAAGGAGCTGGTGTTTTTACTCCTAAGGTATCTGATATGTAGTAAACTGCACACTAATTCTTTGATGGCAGCAAGACCCAGAGTCACTCATTAAGGAGAGATGCTTCTTTTCTCTTTTCAACTTCTTAAAAAAGCTATCTAGCTTTTTAATAATTTTTAATTTTTAATAATTTTTAATAATTTTTAATAATAAGACTTCAGTATAAAAGCAGCATAGTGAAGGTCGTTTACAAAACATTGTAGAAATTCTGGGACAGTTGTTTCAGGATACTTTGAAGACCTTAGGTTTTCTAAGTAAACAAAATATAATAATTTCCTTTGGTAAGAGAAGTTGGTTTCAAAGCCCTCTGGAAATAATATGATGTTTGAAAACGTAATGTGTTCCCAACCTTATTTTTAGATGCTGAAAGGTACTGAAATACTAATGAAAATAGAAAGAACTTATTTTTTATTCTTGAACATGATTTTTAGGCTTACTCATAAAAATGTAGTTAGTTGTGTATTCTTCACTCTTATGTTAAGGTGGAAGATTACAATTAGCATACCTTGGTCTTGATTTATCCTTATCTATCTGTTCTCATTTATTAGTAGTTCACTTAATGCTTCAAAGTGGAATGTATAGGAACAAAACATTTTATGAGAAGAGCTTATTGTACTTGCCCTCACAAGTTTTGTTGAACAAAAGATTGTATTTCCTTTGTATATTTGGAGTTTCTGAAAGGTCAGGAAGATATGTAAGCCTCTTTACAAACATAAGGCAATTCCAGAAGACTGTCAGCCAATAACTACATATTATCACTTTTTTTTTTTTTTTTCCCCCACCATTACTGGAATAATTAAAAGTATTTAATTGTGTCTCTGCTAGACAGGGCTTAACTTCAGTCTTTGGTGCGCAGGTATTAGGTAGATTGTTTGATTGTTTGAGAACAGTTGCTGTCTGGAGGCTTAGCAGAACTCTTTCCTGCTGATGACCTGAACAGGCAGCATTAATTTGAAGTGTAGATGTATATGTCAAAAAGTTGAAAGTTGTTCCTTTTCTATAGGACTTTTTTTTTTTTTTTTTGTCTATTTACATTAGTTTAATACGTACAACCTATTCTTCATCCTTATTATGGGAACATCTTAAAACACTGAGTGATAACTATAGTTAAAGAACTTGTGTAATGGAACAAAATCAAACTGCCAATAAGCCAGTGTCTTGTCTAAGTATATTCATCAGACATGAAGTTTTATGGAAATACTTTCCTCTTAGCAGGCAGAATTACAAGCTTTAATTAGAGACTATGTAGACAGTGGTAGGTTTTGTAACTATCAGACTTGTATAATACTACTGCAGGCAAACTAGTAGCTAAATTTGTGTGATTTTGTAAAAGGATAGAATGTTTCAGTAATGTGCTTCATAGTGGGCTTACTTGTATCACTGAAAGCCAAGTGCTAAAGGTTGGTAGTTGGACTGATTTGCTTAGGCCCATGTTTGTAATAAAGTGTTTTGTTAAGGAATATCTGTGTTTAATACTTGACAGTAAATTTCATGTGTTCTACTCATAAACTCTAAGTAGGACCTTTGATAGCCTAGTTAGTCTTACTTAGATTTTGTGAAGGATCAACAACTTTTTGTTTTAGAAAGTTATTGCTCTGTAAAGAATTCCAGTGTTCAGCCAGGGTGAATGCTCATAAGCATAAAAAGCATATAATTTCTATTTGATTTTTTTTTTGTGTAGAAACTGTTACATTGGCCCTTCTTTACTTTTGGGTCTCAACCTTTGGTATCCTGGCAAAATCAAATGCATAAGTGTACCTTGACAGTGACTTTGACTGTAGCAGTAGCAGCAATTTGAAACATCTGAGTGTTAGAGGGAGATTGCTTGAAGAGGAGTCTTTCTCAACGATTACACATTGGCTCATGGTTTCCATGGCCTGGATGTGCCACAGGGAAACAATACAGGTTAATAAACTGTTAGCTTCTGGAGAAGATGCTGTGGGGAAAGAGACTAACACCTTGCCCAAACATTTCATGAGAACTGCTGTCCAGCAGTATCAGTTATTGCTGCTAAGTATATTAACAATCTTACTAATTAGATGCTGTAGTTCTAGTAGGGGCAGTTTGAGTAGGAAAAATGCATAGTTAATGTCCATATTATCACTGATGTGTTGAAGATGTTACATATTGCAAGAAACCAGGCATATCTTCTTAAAAGATGCTGTAGGAAATGACTTTTAAGAATCTTACAATAAAGTCCTTTTATTTTGCAAAGGGAAAGCACTCAGGAATTTAGAACTTTTGGTTTAGGCTGGTTGTGTGTTCCTGTGCTTGATCTCATGTCACTTTATTCTAAAAGACCTTGCCACATTAGTATAGAACACAGAGCTAAGATGTCATTATTTTACATAAATTATGTTGAGCAAAAGATTTAAATGACAGACATTCTGGTGCTCTTTTTTGGTTTGCATATATTTTAGAATGGTGCTAAGCTACTATTTGGTCAAAGGATTTGATAATTTTTCTTCAAGATCCTAAGATACAACTTTTTTTTTTGTTATATGTCTATCATATAGTAGGTGTGTGGAGAGACTTTTCAATCTGTTACACTGCCTATCAGTGCCACCTTTTGAGATCTGTAAGGCACATACCCATATACTTCAGACAGATTATTTTTTAAGTATTCCATTGTGGGTTTGTGATTTGACTTGGATGTTAGACCCTGTTCCTGTGGAGCAATACAAGATGTAAATGCCCCTGTATACTGTAGTCTCACCTGACTGATGTTTAGCTTCCTTAGTTTCTTAATAAAGTCATTTTGGAAGAAACATTCAAATGTTTCATGTAACTTGGAAGCAGTAGAGTTAGCTTGGCTGTAGGTTAGTGTATTAGTTTTTAGGCTTTGGCAGAGAGGCTCTGTTTTAAATGTTGTTTTTGTTTTTAAATCAGGAGCCAATGAAGTCGAGAGCACCACAGCTACATTTGGAATACAGATTCTACAAGCAGCTAGGATGTGGAGGTAAAAAGCAGTGTCATGCATTTTACTATGATGTAATCCAGGATCAATTTTTGATGGAAGCTTTCTGATTTAGGGGTATAAATCTATTTAATATAATGTCCCTAGTTACTTTTAAGAAGAAAAAAGCTCCATGAGTCAGTAGCATAAAGCATACATTTTTCTAGTATTGTACAACTTTTATTCTACTCTTTATAATATGTCTATGGAATCATAAGACTATTTAATGTTTTAAATGTCACAGAATTTGTGTGCATATGGGTATACCTTAAACTAAGCAGTCTTAGACTATTCCAAGTGCGTTCTCTTTGAATGAAGACCATTAAATGACCAAATGGCTGATCTGCTAATTGTTTTTTAAGTTATGGTATTTAAATAGATTCAGTCTCAATTTTACTTCCACTGATAAGTATATATAAGTGCTTGATAGTTTTAAGTCTCTTAAACTGCACTTAAACATTTTTTTTTAAGTATTTAAGAGGTGAATTTCTCATTTTGCTCTCTTGGGTACATTTACACCCAGAAATACTCTTATGATGGTACCTTCAATGATCTAGTTATCACATTTTGCTTTTTTTAGGTGAGCAATAGCTAAAACTTCGCAGGTATTTTTGTGCTGTTCATAAAACTGTATATAGTCAGCAAGATGTGAGGCTTCTTAAAGTAGGAAAGTGAGTACAAACCTTTTCTAAATCAGTTATACCCTAGGAAAAAAATCTTACAATATCTTTTCCTTGAAAAAGTTCCTTTAATTCCTTGAGTAGTTTTTCACAGGTCATACAGTTAATTACTTTTCCCACTTTTTACTAATACTGAAGTTAATTGTATAAAATGGAGTACTGGTAGTTGTTTCCTACATGCGAATTCATTTGTTTTTCTAACCAGAGGCAGTGTAAGTGTGATTTTAAAGTTATGCTTAACTGCAATAAAATACTATTTAAGATGAAAAGTCGTCTCCAAGTCAGGGATTACAAAATGACCATGCCCACACCACTTGGATTTTGTTGCTTTGCATGTGTGTGTTGTGATGAATTTAAATCTTCTAAAATATTTTCAAAAAGTCATAATGTTATGTTCATTGATGCACAGACTTGACAGTGTTTTTCTAGGTAGCCTTCAAAATTTTGTGCTTCTTAAAGACCCTCTCCAGGGAAACATACTTTCATATAGAACTTTTTTTAGTGCTGTAGTACAAATGCTTTGGAGCCAGGAATCTTTAAAGATAAATCTTTGCAAGACATGATATTGTCTATTTCTGTTCATAGGTGGAAAAATAAGTTGCAGAATGTTGAGTTGAAATGTTGAGTCTTGTATATTTACTAATTGGAGAAAGTCATCAGGGTATAATGTCTGGGTTTTTTGTTAGTAGTTGTGAATCATCAGCATACACTAGAGTAGCATTGTGAAATAGTAAATTGCTTAACTACTGGCCACCAAGTTAGTGACATTACTCACCTGTGAAAACCAAGTTTGAACTATCTAAAATTGCAAAATAGCTGTGTAGAGGAGGTAAGACTAAAGCTGTAATTACAGGTTCAAATTGCAGAAAATAAGCAAGGCTTTGCAGAGGTAGGAACCCTTACAGAAATAGTTCTTGGGAAAAATGTCTTAACAAATGTAACTATGTTTTTGTTTACTGAAAAAGATTGGGGGAGTGTTTAAGAATGTAGGCAAATCAAGATTAGTCTGCTTTACTTTGGATATCATTCAGTCTTTATAACTCTATTTGTTGCTAGCAACAGGTTTTACCACTTTGTTGTCTTATTAAAGTACTGTAAGGGAGAAAGATCTTTGAGATTCTTTGCATGAAGATGAGGAGACCTGTGGGATGAAAACAAGATGATAATGCTGATGAGTTACTAGCTGCCATCAGTATTTATGAACCACCTTGTTAGACTTCTGTTTTGGAAGTAACCTGTTTATATTTCAGAGCCTCAACCCAGCAGGCATAGAACTCCTTTTTGACTCTTGTCTGACTCTCTCAGGCACTGCACTTGAGTCTTACTTTAATGAGTTTTGTGGGAAAGACTTTTAATGAAGAAAGTAGTATTCATACTTCTGACTTCTTAGAGAAGTCAAAAAAATTTGCTAATTCTTTCTGCAACACCCTCCCTTTACCCATCTTTGCAGGAGTTGGACCCTCAAACCCAGGAAGTTATGCAGCCTAAGGCTGTTTTAGAAAAAAAAATAAAAATCCTTCTTGTGTAGTTTTTTTTTTTTTTTTTTTTTTTTTTGTTTTTTGTTTTTTTTTTTAAGTTTTTTTTTTTTTTTGACATGTGTTTGCTGTCAAATGTAGATTTAAGGTATTTTGTCACATGGACATTTAGAAAACATAGTGGTGGAAAGTTCGTGGACCAAGTGATAAAATTTAGGAAGCAGCTAATCCTTCCTATGTAGAACCAGGAGATAGTAGAGACGTTATGCCAGATCTAAGTAGTGTGGCTTTATGGGCAGTGGTTGTATTTTTGTCAGAGTGAATTGAAGGAAGTGTATCTTCATTGTGCAGGTGGCAGAAGAGTCCGTCATAGGAGGTTTAAACGTAGATGTTACTGCTGGAGGAAATGTGAAGTTTAGTATTCATGAGACAGGTTTATGTGAAAAGTAATTATTCACTGTACTACTAGTTCTAGTTGTCTGGAGTCTTCCAAGCTTCTAAAAATCCCCATTTGCAGGCTTTCTTAATAATGATAAAGTATTATTTTCCTTAGCTGTTTTTGTTTATTCACACAAAAGTCTTTGTAGTTTGGCTGATAGCTTTATACCTGTGTACTGCTTATTTTGCATTCTATTGTATTAAATAGCCTTTCCACTTGTTCTCTTCATGTATACATGCATAGATATTTATTAATAGCAAATTACTACTAAAAATGGTTTCAGAAGCAACTGGTGAAAAAGGGAATAGTACTTCCTTTCTTTCCCAGTTTTGTAAGCAGAGCCTTTATTTCCTATAAACAAAATTTCATTTTTCACAAATAAGAACTATTAATTCCATAGGTTTTACTACAAAGACTCATGTTTATTGTGAAATAACATGAAGTTTATGAGATAAAATACCTACAGCCCCTGTGAAATCCCAGTTTATTTGGGGGTGACATGGGAAGGAGGGAGAGGCATTAACCATGTGGATGAATAGTTCTGAAAGAAAATTATTTTCCTGAAATATCTTCTTGAAAGCAAGAAAAGAAAATGTTATTGGGCAACAGATTATTTTACCTTCATAGCCTTTTTAATAGAGTATCTTAGTACTTCTGATCTTGTGGGTGCCCTTGAAAAAAAGCAGATATGCTTTTTACTGAACATGCCTGTGAGTGTGTAGTAGCATGTAGATGTTTGTCAGGAAAAAATGTAAAGAATTCTTAAACAAGAAACATTTTATATGTTTTAGGATTGTTTTGAACATTTTTAATTATTATGGGGAATGGATCTAAAACTTATTAAAAATAGATCATGAAGTGGTTTAAAGGTGTGGCTTATTTTAGTTACATCACTGTTTAGCTTTCATATAAGTTTTATATACTGATAGAAGTTTTTGCTCTCTTTTCTGCCATAGTTTTGTCATTCAGTAACTGAACATGATCTCCTCATGATGTCTGAGATCATTTAGTCAATATGCAGGAATTCCTAGTCAACTGAATGAGCAGTCTACAGATGAAGTTTAAAATACCTTTAACTCTAACAAAATTTTAAAGTGTTTTTCTCAATATACATGTAATGAATGATAAGAAAAACTAATACATTATTGTAAGTGCAGTACTACAGATAAAACTAGCTGAATTCTTACCTGAAATTACACTAAGACTTTAGAACAAGTAGAAAACAGTTTTGTGGGTTTTATTGATTTTTGTATTGATTTTCAATGCTATCAGTCTTTCTTCTTATGGTGAGAAGATGAACTGTAGATATATTTCATGTGCTAGGGCCGTAATGTAACTGCATTTAAATTCAGTGTACTTTCCTACTTGGATGGTCTGAGGAGGGAACTGCTAGTTCAATTTGCATATTGAGCAATAAAGCTGAGTTTTTTTTTAATGTGGGATTTTTTTCAATTTAAAAACCTTGTTAGTGAAAATGCTTTTATTTGACAGGTGGGTATTTACGGTATGATTCAGTTCCTTCTGCAATAAGGAAGCTGTAAATATTAAAGAAGTACTGTTATGTGTTGAAGAACATAAAATCTGTTCAACTTCTATTGTCTGAGTTTTCTAACATATTTTAATTAGCCTGTGGGTCATTAATCTTAATGTCTGGGAGTCTTTAAAAGTGAATGAGAACTCTTTTGTGCTTACCTATCTGACAAGTTGAACAAAAGAATGGCAATTGAGTCCTGCTGCTTAACCTGCTTTAGTAGAGCTTATCTCTGCAATGCTGCTGTTTTACTATTCAATTTTAGTTTTTCATTTGAGGTCATTTTTGAAAGAGATAAAGACCTGTTCATCTGTGGATTATCCTACTTCTGAAACTGATGTATTGATGTTCTGGAGAAGGCAGATGCTTAATACTGTTAATAGTATTTTATTTTTCTTAAATTTTGTACTACCTTTTAGCTTAAGTCTAGTTAACACTTAGACTCTTAAAACTGGCAATCAAACACTTTTCTTACAGGGTGTCTATTGGCCAGTGCCTGCATGAGATACATATTTGTGTACTGTGGAGAAAGGTATTGTATTTTAAAAGGTTATGGTCAGTGTGAAATTAATGTTTATTGCATTCTGTACATGAGAATCTTTTTTCTGGTTTGGTATTAACAGTCATGTTGTAAACATGCTCTGCATTTCTTTCTAAAAAATGCATTTTTCAGTTTTGAGGTTGTGAGAGCCTGCCTTAGATGTAGCAGAACCATGCTACTTGAACAGTGGTAGTGAAAAGGTTGTTATTGGATTAGTGGTTAAAGATTGCAGTGCTGGCATAATGTGATTTTTGGAAGATACAGAAATGTTCCCAGTTCACTTGTGAATGTATTGGCTAGTGAACACTGTTAGTGTGAGAAAAAGTCTGTATGTAAT